TGCGCGCTGGGGGGCGCCGGGCTGGGGGGCTGAGGGGAGGGGAACGGGGAAGGGAACGGGGAGGGGGCGGCTCCGTCCCGGCCCTCCAGGGCCGCCCTGCCCGCTCCGCACCGCCTCCCTGCGCCCCCTGCAGCCCCCCGGCCGTGTGTGGCAGCCCCCCGGCCTCGAGGCGAGGGTCCCACCCGTGTCGTGCCGCTCCCCTCAGCGGCGCGGTGGGGTCGGTGTCACCTCCCCGCCTCCCGTGCTGGGGGTCCGGCGCGCTGTGGCACAGGGACAGCGGGCTTCGGGCAGCCTCGTGGCACCGCAGGGAGCGGGGCCGTGGCGGGGTGGTCCTTGTTCCCCGGGTGGGTTCGGCTGCCAGTGGGGCTGGGGGCTGCGAGAGGAGTGAGGGTGGCAGGTTGTCACTGTCCCCACGGTGGGCTTGGCTGCCAGGTGGGTGTGGTGGCAGCGCTGGGAGTGGGGCAGCGACAGTGGTCCCGGCTCTGATGCCAGGTGGGCTCGGTGGCTTTCTGGGAGCACTTCAGGCAGGCAGTGCTGAGGAGGACTCGGGGCACAGGGTGTGCTGCAGCTCAGCTCATGGCAAGGTGGGTTTGGGTCCAGGTGGGTGCTCTAGTGCAGGATGGGCTGTTCCAGCTGGGCCAGGTGTGATCCATAAAGGTCCTGTGCCCCTGGATCCCCGTGGTGCTGCACATCAGAGCAGCCTGATCCAGGTTGTGGTGGGATGAGTCTCTGATCTGTCACTGTGCAAGAAGAACCAGGCTGTGTTCAGAGAGCAGCAGCGTTAAGTGGTGTCTCATCAGTAACTGTGGTCCTTTGGACCTGCTCTTCAGGTGCTTTGTGCTCTGCTGGTTTTAGGTGCTTGTGGATAATAAAAAAATTAAGTTTCAGAGTGTTAGCACTGAGCATCTGCTCAAAATCCCTATTTGGTGTTAACACCAATACTTGTCAGTATTTCCAGTTCTCCCAGTGAGTCCCCCCTAACTTGCATTGTGTTGCTGTATGTCCCATTTTGACAGCTGGATTTTAGTTCCTAATGAAAGCTCCTCTCTCAGTAGTGCAGTTCCTAAGGCTTCTAAAGTGCTTAGGGATCTTCTGTGTTGAAAGTGCCCATTTAGCCAGGAGACTTGAAATGTCACAACACTGAAAAGATCTGGCACTGGAGATACATTATTTCTTGGCCCTCCCTCTCATGGCTGTTTTGTGGTTTTCTGAGGTACTTTATGTGAAGTACTGGCATTTCCTTCTCTATCTTGCACTTTCTTTCCCCTTGTACACACTTCTGCCATCCCCGTTCTCAAATATGTTAATTTTACAGTTTGGGGGAGATAGGGAATAATCTTCCCAGTTAGGACTGATATATTCATCTCTGTATCTCACCACCTCATCTGAAGCTGGCAGAATACACAGAGCACGTCCTGTGCTCCATTTGTTGGGTTGGTTTGGGAAATGAAGGTGGTGGAAGTTGTTGCTCAAGGGTTATCTGTCAGATCTTGAGCAATGTGACATAACTGGATTATTTTCTCTCTGCACTGAGTGTCTCTTAGGCGAAGGGAGGAGATGATTGTGTGGAGGGGTAAATCACTGCTGAGATGAGGGTTATGTGTGGATGAGGATGGACGCTGTGACAGGGCTGGACTTATGTTCAGCTGCTGTCAAACAGCACCCACAGGTCCTTTTCCAGCTTTCCAGCCACTGTTCCCCCAACCTGGAGCGTTCCATGGGGTTGTTGTGATCCA